AGTTGGCCACCTGCCTGCACCGGATGGTAGTCAGGATCTGGGAAACAGAACAGCTACCGGAGGAGTGGAAGGAGGGGGTTATCTGCCCCATTCACAAGAAGTGCGACCATTTGAAATGTGAGAACTTCAGAGCGATCACCATTTTGAATGACGCCTACAAAGTGCTATCCCAGATCATCTTCCATCGTCTATCACCTAAAATGACCGAGTTCGTGGAAAGTTATCAAGCCGGCTTCATTGACGGCCGATCGACAACGTACCAGATCTTCACCGTACGGAAAATCCTCCAGAAATGCTGGGAATACCAGGTCCCAACGCATCATTTGTTCATCGACTATAAGGCGGCATACCGCACAGAGCTATGGAAAATCATGGACGAGAACGGCTTTCCTGGGAAGCTGATCAGACTCATCAAAGCAACGATGGACGGTGTGCAAAACTGCGTAAGGGTCTCGGGTGAACTATCCAGTTCATTCGAATCTCGCCGGGGACTGCGACAAGGTGACGGACTCTCATGCCTACTCTTCAACATCGCTCTAGAAGGTGTAATGCGACGAGCCGGGCTCAACAGCCGGGGTACGATTTTCACGAAATCCGGTCAATTTGTGTGCTTTGCGACATGGACATTATTGCAAGAACATTTGGAACGGTGGCAGAACTATACACCCGCCTGGAACACGAAGCAGCAAAGGTCGGACTGGTGGTGAGTGCGTCAAGAACAAAGTACATGCTAGTAGGCGGAACCGAACATGACAGGATTCGTCTAGGAAATAATGTCACGATAGACGGGGATACTTTCGAGGTACTGGAGGAATTCGTTTACCTTGGATCCTTACTGACGGCTGACAATAATGTGAGTCGTGAAATACGAAGGTGCATCATCAGTGGAAGCCGTGCCTACTATGGGCTCCAGAATAAACTACGGTCAAAAAAGATTCACCCCCGCACCAAATGTACCATGTACAGAACGCTAATAAGACCGGTGGTCCTCTATGGACACGAGACATGGACTATGCTCGAGGAGGACCTGCAAGCACTCGGAGTTTTCGAGCGACGTGTGCTAAGGACGATTTTCAGCGGTGTGCAGGAGAACGGTGAGTGGCGGCGAAGAATGAACCACGCTGCACTCTACGGCGAACCCAGCATCCAGAAGGTGGCCAAAGCCGGAAGGATGCGGTGGGCAGGGCATGTTGCAAGAATGCCGGACAACAACCCTGCAAAGTTGATGTTCGCTACTGATCCGGTTGGCACAAGAAGGCGTGGAGCGCAGAGAGCCCGATGGGCGGACCAGGTAGAGCGTGATCTAGTGAGCATTGGGCATGACCGAGGATGGAGAGCGGCAGCTGCAAACCGAGTATTGTGGCGTACTATTGTTAATTATGTCTTATCTTAAATGTGATATTGTACGAAAAAATGTATGTAAGGCACAACAAGACTTGCACCGCAGCTGATGTACATAAATGTCTTTGCTGACGTTTTTAAGTGTTCTGAAAAAAACCTCTCATCTCCTCTTCCACTGGTAGCCATAAGTGAGCTACAAGATACCAAATATGGTTTTATATGAACCATCTAGGCGGAGTTGCTCCTCGATCGTGACTCGGCACATGTGGGGTAGCAGTAACAAACAAATAATGCATGGAAGCATGCAAATCATCAGACTTTTCATGTTTCGTTCAAGAAAGTTTTTGAGAATCGCTGGACATCAATAAAATTTCCTCGTTCCTATTATCGTTACTAGGCATGAGAGACTTTTTGTTATAGTTTCAATTTGACAGAACGATGTCCGAACGGGGCCTCCCTTAGCTCAGTCGGTAAAGGCGCAGCTACAAAGCAAGACCATGCTGGAGGTGGCTGGGTTCGATTCCCGGTCCGGTCTAGGAATTTTTCGGGTTGGAAAATTTCTCGACTTCCCTGGGCATAGAAGTATGATTGGACTTGCCACACAATAATACCAATGCAAAAATGGTACAGGCATCGAAAGCTCTCAATTAATAACTGTGGAAGTGCATCTAGAACACTAAGTTGAGAGCACGCAATAAGCTAATATGCGATATGCAATAATCTTGAAATGCGAAGAAGAAGAAGAAGATGTCCGAATTAAGCTAGTTATAACAGTGAAATGATAGAAAAAGATTCACTTTTTGAAAGGCATTTTCTTTTAAGTTTTATGTGCTTAAGTGTTCTAAAATCCACCTCTAATCCATGACTAAAATTAACAAAAAATTGCATCAGTCTAATGGTCATAATACTTTATCAAAAATTGTATGACTGGATCATGTGATTATGATCTACTACAAAAATAAACGCATGAAGTTTTCGATTATATTGCATTATCATGTGTTGAACGAAATCACTTAATGATTGATATTGATATTGATCCAAACCAATACAGAACAGCTAACCTGAGAATGCCAGCGAACCATTAATGACGCCATCTATCACAATAAAACACCATATGAATAATCGTTCCTCACTGCAAATGATGTTGACATAGGAAATTCCATCGGACAACCAGGTCTTTTATCGACATATCGGCATAGATTTTCACTGTAGGTACAAGTATCAATTTGACACAGTGCAAAACCCCATTCTCAGGGGAACGTACCGTTGTGTAATATTTCTGGAATCAGACAAAATCAATAAACGCTGGTGCTAGAAGTGCAATCCACAATTGCGAGGCTTATTGAATTCAGTCCCGCAAACGTTGCTAGAAAACCACTTCACACTCCGGCTTTATCCACCATATAAATGAGCCATTCCACGATCCAAGCACGAAACATCGAACAGCTCAAATTGCCACCACTTAGCCAAGTAACTAGTGCTTAGTTTCACATGGAGCGTGATCCACTTAAATCACTCGGATTCAAATTGCAGAACAGTACCTTGAACGTAGTAGAAAGAAAATGTCGTGAGGTACGCCTACATGATAGCTTCCTCCGGACAACGTTCTGACCCGAGACAAGCGACGAATGTGATGCGACAAATGGAACACAATTTGACGACCCCCCGGCAGAGGGGACAAAACCTTCCGTTACTTGATAAGCCGTCAGTGTCCCGTGTACGTATGAAAATACTCGAGCTGCACACGCAACCAGAAGCGTTTGCTGGGAAGAAGGTAATGTCGCGCTTCTTTTCGCAGATATTCAGATGGCAACCCCTAATTTGCATCATACACACTGGCTGGTTGTTTCCAAAGGGAACAAAAACCTATTCTAATTCAATCTCTCACGTCTCGCATCAATTCGCCAGAAGTGGGAGTTATCAAATCGGGCCGGTGCGCTACGCGGTGGAACAAACAGCGTCTGTTTAGTTGCAAAGCTATTCCTGGCCGTTTGATTCCACATTGACATGTTTGTTGCCCGGGTACCTTAGAATGTGGTGCGGGAACGCGTAGACAAAGAATCCGGTTAAGTTGATTTATAGGACTGTTGGCGAAATGGATGAGATTTTGATTGAATTATCTGTCGCTACTTTTGTGTTCGCCACACTTGGGATGCAAATTTGGCCAGCAGGAGGTGGTTAGGGGAACCTGCGCAAGATGATTACTGTGAAGTCTGCATTCTGATTCGATGGTTCGAGAGCTTTCATGACTTGTTTATTATAGTGATGCTGCAGTAAATGATGAAACATAAAAAAGGAGACCCAGATCGTGACATATTTCTACAAGTTCAAATCTTTTATGTAGACAAAACACCATCTTCCATGACAAACCACGATGTTTCCTTAGGTATGTCTTGGCCAAGGGCCCAACAAGTTTCGAATGTTTGTTTTGTTCTATCCTATAGCCTGTATGTGTGTATAGCTGAAAAGTAATGACGTTTTTACGTGCTACGGGATAGGACACGGAATGCTAAAGAAATTACTTTTCCTTGACCCAGTACGCAGTTCAAAAGAAATCGGTAAAGGAAAGATCGATAACATTAGTATCGTGATGAAGGTGGCGCATTCTGAATGCAATTTCACTTTCCTTGCGGAATAATGGTCTGATCAATAATTCCGTTAGGTAATTTTAGCGTTAGGTGTAAAAGTAATGTTTTGGATGCATTTTATCAACATAAAAACTGATAATTGTTGATTTTTAAATTAGACGACACCCCCCTATGATCTCAAAATTTAGCAAAAGACACCTCCCTATAGCTGACAAATTTACTTTAGGGAATATTCCTCAAAAATTACTTAGGGTAAACGCTCCAATAGTTGCGGTACGTTAGAAGCGTTAGGTTCCTATAGTTGTGTATTGAGTCTCCATGCACAACTATAGGAACCTAACGCTTCTAACGTACCGCAACTATAGGAGCGTTTCCCCTATCCGTTTTCTTTTTAGCAGCATACCAAGCTTATGATGGTGATTCATTCAGCAAGGAAAGCGAAATTTCATTCGGAATGTGCCATCATCATGTCGATCACGGTACTAATGTACTCGATCTTTGCTTTACCGATTTTTTGTTAACTGTGTACTAGGTCAAGATATGCAAAAGGAAATAATGTATTTAACATTCCGAGTCCTATTCCATAACAAATAAAACCGTCATTACTTTTCCACCAGACTTATAACGATAAAATGGAAAATTTTGCATGCATAAATTTTCGTATTGTAATCTCGAAAAGAAAGAGATAAGAGTTAATGATGACCATTTATTGCTAATCTTCGGCAGGAACGCTGATTACAATGTGTAGAATTCTCCCGAGTCTACTAGGTACATAACCTCGACTCTTATATTTTTTTCTTTTCATACATATCCCTCTGCATTCGCTGGCCAACGTTCATTAAAAATAAAGTAAACTTGTTTATTCACATGGCCTATTGTAATGTCATCCTAAAACAACACAATACTTTTCCTCCAATAGCTGCGATCACGACAGCTTGTAGCAATTTTCTCATCATCACCCGGTCCCCGTCCGAGCTTGGATCAGTACCACTCCGTACTTCACGTGTAGAACATCTTCGACGAAAGTTCTCTTCGTCTCTCTTTCGCCGAGAACCACTTCTACCGTGTCCCTAACTCAACTGCCACAACTCTTTCGGTCGCGTGCAAAGAAAACACACCATAATTGACTAACCGATGAAATCGTAGCCCAAAAATGGTACGCTATTATTTCGCATATTATTATCCATTCGATTTGCTCTTCCCATTTTTTGTTCATCGTTCGATCTTTTGCAACCTGCTGCCCATTTTGATTATTTGGCATGTTCTACATCCGCCTTTTCATGTGTTTCTTTTGTACAATCTTCTTTTCAGACCCCTTCAGCAGTGGTCATTACGTCATCGAGGAGCAGTCCCAACGGTTTCTGAACTCTGTTCCAAGTTTTCAGTTCAGAGGATCGCATCAGTTCGGAATGTCGCAGCAGCACATGTGCTTCGGAGCTAGTGGTGGCTGCTATTATAATTATAACAGTATGCTGATCGGACCAATTGGTCAAAATATTGGTTTCGATTGTTCGTGATGTTCAAGGTGTAGAGAGTGACAACCAGTATCGACATGTATCGAATTTGCAATTGTGATACAATAGTGCTAGAAATATTTACATCTCCATAAAGAAGAAAGCTTATCAAAAGTGGTTTCAATCAAATACATTGTGTGGAGTGAGATCAGGTCAATTCCTTAGTTGTTTAGGTGAAAATTTTGTAAAATAAAATGGCAAAGGTAGCAGCAGGAGATGCTTTGGCCCCGGTTGAAGGTTTTGGGGAAGCATCAGGAAGTCGGCGATCCAGTGGTGAGAGGTTACGGGCCGAGAAGAATGATAGTGATGATGGTGAAATAAAGCTGAAAAAGGAGCTCGGGTTGATGGATGGTGTTGCCATCATAGTGGGTGTAATCGTGGGAGCAGGCATTTTCGTATCCCCCAAAGGTGTACTGCTCTATTCCGGATCCATCGGACAGGCCATCATCGTATGGATTCTATCCGGGGTGCTCAGTATGGTGGGGGCGCTGTGCTACGCAGAATTGGGTAAGTTACCAATCGAAAATAAACCATGTTGTCACTGTACGAGAAACTCAAGCTCGAGTAAACAAGCAGATAATAGAGAGTATTCCGTAAATTGCTAAATCTGAACTGAGACAGTTCTGAAGTACCGTATCAACCGCACCGTTGGCAGTAGCGATAAGGGCTAATTGAGTCTGTGTCAGTTTCCGACAATTGGCGGGGAAGCAACATATTTCCAAACATCTGAGAAGGTGCTATCTTGTGTCAAATGAACCGAAAAAAATGTAACTGAAGCACAAATTGTGAAATGAAAACAAAGCAGGACATCCTTATCGGTTGATGATGACATGTTTTTGATGGAATGCTTTTAAATTGATTTTTCTCATTTCTCGAAATAACATTTGTTTTTATTCTTTAGAAAGCAATGCAAGGCTTCTTGATTTAAGTGAATCATTCATATTGGTTCCTAATCATTCTTTCAAAATATCTATAAGCTCTTTAAGTTTTTGCCATGTTACTCGGCTCCGTTGAGTTGTTTTAAGACGTTTTAGATATCTTTCGATATCATGTAACATAAAAATAACGAGTCAATATATATATAAATCTTACGCAAAACGAGCACAAATGCTTTCAATGATCTCAACCATTGAATGAAATTAAATAGATCGTTTTCGTTTTGCTAGTTATGAAGATTTGTGAATACTATTTTATCAAAAAAAGAGCATGCCTTGTATTAAATGGAGGAGAGTTGCCTTCAAAATTAATTTTTTGACGTTGGACTACGTCTGTGATTTCTATATGGGGGTACACTTTGTAAAAACTGAAAATGGAACATGTAACGAAATTATGAAAGATTCTGCACGTTAATAACTCAGCTGCCCCTGGACCAATTTAAGTAATTTTATCACCAATCGATCAGAAATATTTCTACGCAACTGTTAAAACTAATATCTTATCATTTTTCAAATGTCACTATTTAAAATTGCACGAATGTACAACTGTTGCTATGATAATTAAAATTATCACCGATTACCTGTAAAAAGCGATTTCCTAAACACAGATTTTAAAGTTGAATTCCATTCGGTCTCACCAAACGGTGTTTATTAAATTACCGCGTGGTGAGTGGTGGTGTTCTCCAGTACATAAGGAAAGGATCCCCACAAGCAGCTAGCTATCAAGGCTGCCCTCAACCGCTGATCGGATTCAGTTCCAATCACCGTGTGTGGTGGTGTCCGGTAGTCGGCATCAGCAGCAGCAGTGCTTTTGGCTCGTGGCGTTTGTTGATCTCCAGTACACAACGAAAAGCTGCCTTCAAGCAGCGAGCTGCAGCCTACATGAAGGAAGAAGAAGACACACCACTATTGATCAGAATCAGTAGCTCATCGTGAGTCGCTGTGGGCCATCTATGCCAAGCGCGTTATACTAAAGAGTATAAACAGAAAGAACCCCGCTCAAATTCCTATTCCTAGACAAAACACAATTGGGGTGCAGTTAACAAATAACATTTATTACATTCAAAGTGTTTTTATGTTACTTCATACGCGAAGTTAACGATTTTCAGAGTTGGTTGGAAATGCTAACATGAAGCTTTAGTGTGATGATTTATTAGCTAGAGAATGATCTTTTTTAGAAGAGGGTAGGTGGATAGTTCCGTTAGAGTACGGCAGTATGAAAATTGAAAGAAGTTGAAAATGAGCGAAGGGCCATTAATGCGACAGTTTTTAAAGATAGACGCACATCTTTTGCCTAACCCGTACGATGTACGCGGAGATTTGAAGTATGTCTCCAAGTCTACAGGCAATAAATGTGCGTCCCTCTTTTGCTCATAAACTGACTGCGGCTGTGGAATAGTTCTAGCGACGTTTTCATCACTACCTAAAGCCCCACGTTGCGAGAGCATTTCCAGTCGATGGTGTGTTATACATTTATTATAAAAACAACCAAACACAAACAAGAATATTCATCGCTTAAAGCACGCCATGGACCCTATTTTCCAACTTTCCTTTCGCAAATATAAACAATAATTAACAACGCCATTGACATCAACATTGATTCCGGCATCACTGCCAGTCAGATTGATGCAATCCCTCTGTCCTTTTTATTCCACGATTGCTACTGTCAAATCGACCAATCAGCAACTGGCTCGGATTTTGCAGCAAATTGGCTCAAAATCGCTACCCGATTGTCAAGTACCGTCTCAGGCATGTCCTCCTTTAGTTGCACATTCTGATACCCAGGGACTATGGGTATTCTTTATAGCATCGCTTGGCCCATGTTCAACCTCTCAGCAATCTGATGGATATATCGCAAACATTTCCAACATTGAAAGGGAGTCTCTTGTATTTTAACAACAAAATATGTCATTCGACAGCGATTTCTTGATGGCCGTCCCTCGTGGGCAGGCTTGCTTCCACTCACTTGCTATAAAAAAAAGTTTTTTTCGGAATTATCAAATCGTTAGATGTTATTATTGAGGTTTGAAAAGTATGTGTTTAGCACATAAAACCTTTCAATTTTGCTTTCAGAGTGTCACAATCAGCGATTTTATGATTCGTCAGCGTTCACTCAGAGTGAGCGCTCGCGAGTCGTAAAATCGCTGATTGTGACTACAATCTGAAAGCGAATTTGAATTTGTATTATGATTATGTGTCAAATACTTGCTTTTCAACCTCTTCTTGTGTCTAACAAGTACAAACTATCATTATACCATCTAATCATTTCAAAATTCCGAAAATCATTTTGCCATAGCAATTGAGTGGAAGCAGCCTGCTCGTGGGCAGGCTGGACAGATTTTTTTTTTACTATCGGTACCTTCTCAAAACTTTTATCGGTAGGTCGTCTTAAGAAGACTTCCCGAAACAAATGTTGAGCGGGGAAAGGATGAAAACAAATCACACGCAATTTTGGACCTTCGAACTGAGCCAACAGTCATTGGATAACATTGGATAGTCTAATCTAGAGTCGGTGTATAATGAGCCACGCCAAGAGTGAAGCCAAGTCTTCTTATTGGACTGTCAAGCCGGCAACCTATCGTGCAAAGTAAACAAACATTACGATGATATGAAAGGTTCACGAAAGGTAAACGCCTTTTTATAGAAACCAAACGATCGATTCAAGCTCTGGAACGTCAAAAAGAGTGTTGTGAGCAGAAATGTCTGCCGTGAGACATAGGAAGCGGAAATTTTTTTCACTTTCACGTTGCTCCTAAACTTGATCTACATTTGAAAAATTTAATTCTGTATCGTTTTTGCAAGGATCCTGCTGGTCTTCTGGAATAAATTTGTTGAGAAAAATGAAAAATTGGAATAGTGCCTTAGTGGTTATGCCAAGTAAAATTTATGGTTTTAAAAGGGTTTTGTAGACCATGATTTAGACTGGTAGAATGCTATAAAACCTCGATAAAACTTGCAATGTTGCTTGGGTGTGATTTCTTGTGTGTTAATAGTGCAAATCAGTTCAGATCTGTGGAAAATCATACAATAAGACAATTACCGATGGAAATTGGCAAGATGCTCAACGAAAAATACTTTAATTTGCGTTGTGAAGAATCCATATTTTGATGTCAACAGTCGCTATTTTTTTTTTCTCGGTAGAAGTCATTTGAAGTTGATGTACACTAATAAAAATTCAATGCTTTATGTGCCCCACACATGAATTTTTGCAAAGTGATAAACAAATGATATATATGTGTCGGACACATAGTTCTTATGTGTACACATAAAATTCATGTGTAACCACACATATTATTCATTTGACTCATAAATTTCATGTGTACTTCTGAGCTTGCTTCTGAGTGGATTCTATTTATGGGTGGATACATGAAAATCATGTGGAATTTTACATGGAAATTCGCCAATAAAAATGTGTCGAATTTTATGAGTGTAGAAGTCCTCTGTTGCCAAGTGAAAAGAATGGAAATCTTCCGAAAACCGTGATGCGAGTTCAACTGTTTTCCGAGGGGGGCGACACATCTAAATCTCAAGTTTAGATGCTCAACAAATCTCACACTAGCGAATCAATGTTCGAAAAATCTTCTTTCATTTGTCGCATCTACTTGCAACGCTCATCATCTTTTTGCAGAAAATCTTCAGAATCGTCATCATTCTTCTTTCTATCTATTCAGCGTGCACGCAGCTGCCACAGCAAAACACAATCTTTTTTTTTGCATCGTAGGTAGAGTCGCCCCCCTCGTGTTTTTCTCTTGCCATGACTCATTATACACCGACTCTAGTCTAATCAAAACAAGTAAGTATGAGTAGGACGAACGGAATACGAAACCAAAACAGGAAGAAACAGAAACTAGCATCTCCGCTAGGAGACAGACAGAAAAAAGAAAACAAAACATAGGGAGGAGAAATGGATGTAATGTCGGCCTAAATGCCCCTAATTTGGACCCATACATAAATTCAACAATCGACTCAATTATCAATAGCGACCAAAAATATCCATTAAAGACTGGAACGCGCAAAAATTGATCGACAAAAAAATCGTTTCTTTCAGTCAAAATTCATATCACAAAAATCTTCTTATTTTTCTTTTGGTAGTTCAATTCATATATTTAAAGGAAAAAATGTTCGTTTATTCTTTTGGTTTGCCAAATCCGAACTGCCCTGCCTTCCGCTTAACCCCTTCCATTAGATTTTGCAAAGTGGTCTCATAGACCTTATTCGCCGCCGAACGACAGTTAGATTTAAACTGCTGCTCGTTTTCCATGGATTTATTAGTTTTTTTGAGATTCCATTTGACCAAGGCCCAATACCGTTCGATAGGGCGGAGTTATACGCTGTTGGTCTTTGGGTACCACAACCACGTTGTTCGCATCGTACCACTTGAATGCCTTTTTTCCCATAGTGGCAGCTCGCCAAGTCCGGCCAGACCAGCACAGGTTTATTATGTTACTTTATGAATGGTAGTAGCCGCTCTCCCAGGCACTCCTGGACGTAGATATCTTGATTGATGGTTCCCGTAGTAATGAAAATGCCGCTTTTTAGACCACACGTGCATATGGCTTGAAAGACAAGATA